CAGCAGCTAAAATGAGTTTTTTAAACAAATATATGAGATTTTAAAATAGTACATTATTGATAATAACATGCAAATAACCTATATGACCATCTCAAATTAGGTTTTTGTTCTTCATTAATTTGCAGCATTTCAATGCACAATTCTTGAGGTGCAATGTGACAGTTACTCATTCCATGAATTACTAAACTTTAGCTCTTTGACCAGCCAATTCCCTGTTCCTGAGGACAGGGAGAAGAGTGAGGGAAATGGACTTTCAAAAGAAGTCACAATTCAAGTGTTCTTCAAATATTCCCAGTTTTACTTTGCCATTCCACGGCTCTCTTCACCATCCTTCTCCTTCCTAGGAGCACACAGTGATGAAGAAATCCACCTTTAAAAATCCCTCTGTGAAATTCACAACTTACATTTCCTGCAAGTTGCCTTTACATGACTTTAACCCAATTAACAAATAATACTATACCTTAGAATTCTGTTTTGTAAATCGTTAGCATTTACAGTATAACTGGCAACCACACATAACATTGATTTATACCTCATTAGTTTGTGGATCATTCCCATGTTACCTGATTTATTCCATACCACACATACATGAACCAGGAGGTTTTATTAGCCTGTTTTCAGGTTTTGTTTTGTGTTATTTTTCCATTCACAGAGCTTGACTATAGGGCCTGGGTGGTGTCCCTGAGCTCTTTCACTCAAGGATAGCCTTAAGAGTCTCAAACACTTTCCTGCCCTAACTGGGTCTGAACCATGATCCTCAGATCTCAACCTCCTGAGAAGCTAGGATTACAGTCTTGAACCACTGGTGCGTGGCTCGTTTGAGGTTTTTTGCACAGTAATAAAGTAACAAGATTCAAGTCCAAAAAACATTCTATATTAAACAGGTCTCCCTCCTCCATCACTCCATAGATACTAAGTTCTCACATGAAAGGAACTCAAAACAAAGAAATGATATTCAATTAGGATATTAAATTTTATTTTAGTATAGCTGACTAAAATACTAAAATTAAATTTAGTAAAAAGGAACATCTTACATCAAAGTTTCCACTTTTCTTCTGAATTGCTCGAACTCTATTGAATAAAACATCAAACTTCCCTTCAACATCTCCACAAGCCAAGCTGCAAATAAGAGGTAAACGTTATGTCCCATTATAGTGATTCGGTGAGAATTTTCTGAATGAACCAAGTCCTCTCCACGATCCCACAGCTTCTCCTTGTGACCCACGGAAGTGCACCAGACTAATTATCTTATCGGCCTCTGCCCATCAATACCTCGGAGGTCTAGATGTATTTGGTTAATGAACAAATAGGGTGGCCGAAAGTGAAGGGGAAAGGATGTGTCGCTGGCCAAATTGGCTTAAAGTGTGGGAGGTGTGACTCCGGGAGCTTCCACCTGTCGCAGCGAGTTTGCGCCCTCCCCCCAGACCCCTCTCCAAGGCAAAGACGTCACCAGAGCTCCCCAGCAGCCCTGGGACCTCCGCTTCTCATTCCCCCGGCCTGACACCCTGTCCCGAGAAACACCCCGCCAGTCTCTACATCCAAATACACGCACATACAAACCCTACACACACACACACACACACACACACACACACACTTCAGATTCGGGGTCACTCACAGGCGCAGCGGGTTTTGAGCCATCGGTGCCAATGGCTTAATATTGGGACGATCACTTAAAATTGGGACCCACTACGCACACCCCGGAGAGAAAGGCCACGGCACCACAATAAGACGTCATCACATCTCAGCCAATGAGCATTCAGGTGTGGACGGCAAGCGCAGAGGGACACAAGTCGCACATGCTTGTGCCTCAAGGAAGGGAAAAGGAGGGAGGGAGGAACTGGCCAAAACGAACCTTAATTCTTTAAAAATAATGTTTTTTGGCTTGGTTTGGGTTGTTTTTTTTCTTTCTTTCTTTCGGAGCTGAGCTGCTGAGTGCATTTCCTGGCACAATATTGAACCCTAACTTTATACTATAGGTCTGGTGAACAAGGCAAATGCCGAATCTATAGTCACACTTTTAAAAATGTTTGTATGTCTGTACTGGAACTTGAACTCAGGGTCTGCCTAGGTGTTGTCCCTGAGCTTTTTTGTTCAAGACTGGCACACTACCTCTTGAACCTCAGCTCCACTTTGGTCGGGAAGGGGGGGGGGTGGGGCGAGAGGGGCCTAGTAACTTGGAGATAGAGTCTCAAGGACTTTCCTCCCCGGGCTGGCTGCCACGTGCGATGCACATAACATAGCCTCCTGAATAGCTAGTATTCCTGCCATGTACCCAGTACCCACCTCTTAAAAAAAATATTTTAAAGCTACGAAAAAAGTTACAACACTGGCCATCACCTTGATTCAGTCTGTCACCACCACCTTAACAGCTTTGCTCCTTTGTGCTCCCTTTCTCTCAAGATCTCCAAGCACTTTGCTTCTCATTGAATCATTTGAAAGTGTTGTCATCAGTAATACCTCAGTATACATCTAACAAGACATCATCTTACAAGACCATAATGTTTGCCGTAGAAAATATTAATTCAATAATATCACCTAATATGGGCTGGGAAGGTAGCGCAGAGGTAGAGCACTTGCCTTGCACGCTCAAGGCCCTGGGTTCGATTCCTCAGCACCACATAAGCAAAAAGAAAAAAGCCGGAAGTGGTGCTGTGGCTCAAGTCGTAGAGCACTAGCCTTGAGCTGAAGAGCTGAGGGACAGCGCCCAGGCCCAGAGTTCAAGCCCCATGACCGGACCCCAAAAAAAAAATAATATCACCTAATATGCATCCATATTTAAAGGTCTGAAATTATCCTCCTAGACTGATTTTATATCTGGACTCTGTTTTCATTCAGGAACTAAGTGTCATATTTCCATTTGGTTCTCTCTCTTCTGAGTCTGGGTCTGTCATGGGGCTTGCACTCAGGGCCTGGCTATTATTCCTTACCTCTTTTGCTCAATATTAGCACGCTACCACTTTGAGCCACAGTGTCACTTCCAGTTTTCTGGTGGTTAATTGGAGATATGAGTCTCAGCGGGTTTTTTGCCTGGGCTAGCTTCAAACCACAACTCTCAGACCTCAGCCTTCTGAGTAGCTAGGATTGCAGGCGTGAGCCACTGGTGCCCAGCCTTTTTTTTTTTTTTGCCAACCTTGGGGCTTGACCTCAAGGCCTGAGGAATGTCCCTGAGCTTTTTCGCAGGGCTAGTGCTCTACCAGCTGAGCCACACTTCTCTTCGTTTGCTTTACTGGAGATAGTTTCATGGTTTTTCCTGCTCTGACTGGTTTTAAACCACCATCCTCAGATCTCAGCCTCTTGAGTAGCTAGGATTGAGTAGCTAGTTGGTGGCATAAGCCACCAACTTCCAGCTGCTTTCTAGTCTCTTAATCAACAAAACCTCTTCTTTTTTGTTAGCTGGCTTTTCTGAAGAGGTGGGGAAATTTGCAGAAGGAAACAGTATATAAGAAAGTGGAAACAAAGGAAAGAGGTTCCTACAACCAGGGGACACCAAGTGATTCAAAAGAAGTTCAAGAAAGAGTCACAAAGTTCTGGTTTCCCCCACAATTTTTGCATTACTTTTGTAGGAAATACTAACTTCCTTCTTTTCTACATGTTGATGCCCCCTACTCCATGGGTAACCTAAGCATAGATTTCCCCTTCTTTTGAAAAAATACAGCACTGGGACTAGCACTCAAGACTGAATCTTAAAGAATGTACAAGTTTGTCAATCAATATGGACAGGGAATAATTCCAAGATGAAGAAATAGCGGTAAGACAGGAAAACTCATCTTGGAATTCTGTTACCTTTGCAATAGAAATTTTGAACACAATTTTCATCAATGAATTCATGAAAATCACTAAAGGATTAAAGCAGGAAAAATTTTGGAAAGGTTGCTGTGGTGGCCGCAGCCCCTAAGGGTGCCCAGGCTACAGCCCCAAAAAGTGCCCAGGCTGCAGCTCCCAAGGGTGCCCAGGCTCCAGCCTCCAAAGGTGCCCAGGGCCCCGGGAAGGCCCCACAATGAAGACCTCTTGTCTGCCAGCCTGAGCACGGATGGACTGCTGTGGCTCCCTGGCCACCATCTTCAGGGTGGGCCGGTGGCCTCTGTCGTTTCTACCAATAATGCTGAGGCAGGCTCTGGTAAAAAAAAAAGAAAGAAAGAAAGAAAGAAAGGTTGCTGTGGCAACAGCGAAGAAGGTGGGTTAGAAAAACAATGAAGATGAAAAGGGACCAGAAAAGAGGATAAACAATGGTCGTCTAGAACATATAGTGGAAAAAGACAGACACAGAAATAAGCTCTTTGGGAGCAGGAATTGGGGACCACAGGCACCTTGGAAGCTGCTAATACCCTATTTTGCATAAGATTACTTTCTTCCAAACTGGACTTGTTCAGTAACTCCTACCTTCTGATGTCTTTAGTGTGAAAGAGTTCCCAGAAGTGCCCCAACCCCACAGACACAACTAGAAAATGTTTTAAAAAGTTTATTATTGTCAGCTACCAGCTTCTGACCTAACAGTGTGACACACACGTCTTGTCTTTATCACATTTCCAAAGGGTACACATCAGACATCTGACTGAGAAGAGACCAGAAGGGCACACTGGATATTTATTAACACTCCTTTCACTACTTCTGCTAAGGGGTTGAGAGAGTTTTTGGCTTTGATTATTGATGCCGGGACTGGGATTTGAATTCAGGACCTTGTGCTCTTGCTTGGCTTTTTCTTCTCAAGGCTGACACTCTTGAACCTCAGATCCACTTCTGGCTTCTTGCTGGTCAATTAGAGATAAGCATCTCAATGGATTTTTTTGCCCAGGCTGGGTCTGAACCATAATCCTCAGATTTCAGCCTCCTGAGTAGCTAGGATTCCAGGTGTGAGACACAGGTGCCTGCCCAGCAATTTTTCCAGTCCTTAAGACTTGACTTGGAATTATTTCATGATGTTGTCATTTACAATGTTATAGAAAAGTAAAATTACTCATGCATAGAAAGAAAGAAATTGAAAACAAAAAAAACCCACATTTGTTTTGTTTCCCTTTTTAATTTAGAATAATAGTTAACAAGTATCATTAATGAAAAAAAAACAACTATTTACAGAATAATGAACTCAAGAACTAGACATTTGAGAAAACAATACAGTAATCAAATCCTATCAGACAAGACAGGTCCTTATTTGGTTCTCTGGCAAGCCCAGGTTTATCCTGAACTTTGAGAGTCTCTGTTCTGAATGATGAAGCATTCAAGTAAAATGTAGGAAATCTGAAGTGAGTTTCTGAGGGATACTGACTCAAAGAAGATTCAGGAGCAGCCACAGTCCTCCAGTTTATTCATCACTGACACGTTCCTAGGATGACCAATAGATTTCTGCTGAGGATCTCTGGGTAATTTATCAGCCTCATGGTCATGTGTTATAAAAAATTTTTCCACATTTAAAAAAAAGGCTTTATCCCATAGAAATATGTTTTCATCGCTTTTCCAGCTTCTTGTACTTGGCTTCTGTGGATAATCAGGGAAGATGAGAGAAGGGGACATTAATTATAGTTTTTGGGGGTGTGTATGTGTGTGTGTGCGCATATGTACCTCTACTGGGGCTTCAATTCAGGGCCTAAGCACTGTTCCTGAGCTTTTTCACTTTACCACTTGAGCCACATCTCCAGTTGCAGCTTTTATTTGTTTACTTTTTTTGGGGGGGGGGTAGTTAATTGGAGACAGTCTCACAGACTTTCTTGTCCTGGCTGACTTTGAACTATGGTCCTCAAATCTCAACCTCCTGAGTAGCTGGGATTACAGGTGTGAGCCATTGGCACCTGGCTTAGCTTTGTGCTCATAATTACTTAAACCTATGGGAATTAAAAAGTCATAAATTACTTCACAGATTTGTAGAATAAAAAACATAAAACATACCAGGTGCCGGTGGCACATGCCTGTAATCCTAGCTATGCAGGAGGCTGAGATCTGAAGGCAGCAATTCAAAGTCAACCCAGGCAGCAAAGTCCTTCAGGCTTAGCTCCATTAACACTATCAAAAAAGCTGGAAGTAGAGCTATAGCTCAAGTGGTAGAAAGTTAGCCTTGAGCAGAAAAGCTCAGGGACAGCAACCAGGCCCAGAATTCAAGATCCAGAACTGTCCAATCCCCACCCACTCCCCACCCCCATGTATGTAAAGCGTTAGAACAGGATTTAACAAATCATTAAGTATAGGAACTGTTCCTAATAATAATACTTGGGGGAAGAGCATTGGGGATTGAACTCAGAGCCTCAAACTTGCACACTATGCCTCCAGCCCCCTTTTGTATTACTTATTTTTGAAGTAGGGTCTCACTTTATGCCTGGGCTGTGATCTTCCAACTTGTACTTGCTGGTGTTGCTATGGATGACAAGCATGTGCCACTGTGTCCAGCCATGGTGCTTTCCCAATAACAGGCATATACTATCATGCCTAGCCATTGGTTGACATGGAGTCTTATAAACTTCTTTAGTCTGGGCTGGCCCCAAACTGTAGTCCTGAAAAGTTACTAGGATTTCAGGCATGTGCCATCACATTGGCTATTGTTTTTGAGACATGATTGCTCTATGTAGCCTAGGCTGGCCTCGAATTTTTTACCCAACCTCAGCCTCCCAAGTGCTGGAATTATAGGAATGCATCACCAGGCCTAACTAAGGGGTACTCCTTATTAAACCAAAACAAATAAAAATGGTTACCCAGTTTTTTTGAATATGCATCCAACTTGTAGGCTGCCTGCTCAAGAGCAGCTACCTGCTCCTCAATTGCATTGATCTGATCCAGGTAAGGCTGCAGTTCAGCATCTTTAGAAAGAAAATACATGTTTACATATCTTGAACAAGAAATGTAAAAAAAAAAAAGAAAAGAGCAGAAAGTAAGAATGCTAGTGTTGCTCCAGCTATGCCTAAATAGACTAGGTGGGGTAGCAGGAGTCATCGTTAACAGAGCAGACCCTTTGGGAGACATCTGCTAGGTTAATCAGCCTAGCCAAAGGAAGTCTCCTATCTACTAATTTTCCTTTTTTTAAAAAAAGAATTTAGCTGGGCGCCAGTGGCTCACACCTGTAATCCTAGCTACTCAGAAGGCTGAGATCTGAGGATCACGGTTCAAAGAAGCCAGCCTAGGCAGGAAAGTCCATGAGATTTTTATCTCTGATAAACCACCAGAAAACTGGAAGTGGCACTGTGGTAGAGCACTTGTTTGAGCTGAAGAGCTGACAGACAGCACCCAGACGCAGAGTTAGAGCCCCATGACCAAAAAAAAGAAGTATTCCTTAAATAATCTTCTAGTTCCCTATTCAATTTCTTTATAATGTCACACCAGGAAAGCATGGTCCCATGTAAGTTAATGGGAAAATAAATTCAGCTGCTCTAAATTAACATTTTCTATTTATTGCTTTTCTGTTTTGAGAGTTGTCATTCACGAATTTTGTGGTTTAATTAATTTGCTATCATCTCTTCTGTCCCCTTCCCTTCTAAGAATTAACTGGTAAAATCAAGATTAAAAAGCAAAAATAACCCATCACCAAAATATGTTAATCTGCAAAATGGAAGAAATTCACCTTTTTTATATAATTCATTTTTAGGAGATGACCCCAGAAGAAAGGGATCTCATGTTCCCTCCCTCACTTTAGTCCCAAGAACAGAACACTACATATAAACAAATTTAATGATAAAAATTATTACTTACACTTCTGGTTTAAGTCCTTTAAGTTTCTACTAATGTTTATAGCAATATCTTTCATTTCAAGATACTTCAAGCTGGTTAGTTTATTCATATTTTCCAGGAGCTTATAGTCTTCACTTGTGGCTTTAAAATAAACAGAGTATATGATGCCATTAATATTTGTCCGAGATCAATGAAATGTGGAATTTTAGCCAAATGATAGTTCAAGACTTTTTTGTTGTTGTTGCCAGTCCTGGGACTTGTCCCTGATCTTTTTTGCTTCAACTCTCTACTACTTGAGCCACAGCTCCACTTCCTGACTTTTTATTTAAAGATTAATTGGAGGTAAGAGTCTCACAGACCTTCTAGCCACAGCTAGCCTCCAAACTCAACTGTCAGACTTCAGTCTGAGGAGTAGATAGGATTACAGGTGTGACCTGCCTACACCACTTTAGTTCAAGACTTTTATACTCAGCCTGTACTCTCTGAATGACTAACTAGAAACTAAGGCAACAATGGGAAAACTACTTAAACAACAACAAATCCAGAAGGTCTTGAGTCATAGTTCATCTCCTTGGGAAATGGTAAATATATGTCTTAAGAAAAGGTAGGAGCTAGGTGCTGGTGGCTCAAGCCTATAATCTTATCTACTCAGGAGGCTGAGATTTGAGGATTATGGTTCAAAGCCAGCTCCAGCAGGAAAATCCGTGAGACTCTTGTCTCCAGTTAACCACTAGAAAACCAGAAGTGGTGCTGTGGCTCAACTGGAAGAGCACTTTTAAGATGAAGAGCTCAGGGACAGCACCCAGGCCCAGAGTTCAAGCCCCATAACCAGAACAAAAAAAGAAAAGAAAGAAAAGGAAGGAACTGGGCACCAGTGACTCACACCTATAATCCTAGCCACTCAGAAGGCTGAGATTTGATGATTACAGTTCAAAGCCAGCCTTGGACACAAAAGTCATGAGATTCTTATCTCCAGTAAACTACTCAGAAAAAGCTGTAAGTGGTGCTGTGACTCAAGTGGTAGAGCACTAGCCTTGAACACAAAGAGGTCCAGGACCCAAGTTCAAGCCCTAGTACCCGTATAAATGAATGAATGAATGAATAAATAAATAAATAAAGTTGTGTTGTTTTCTTAAAAGGTAAAATGGCCTTGGTACTTCTATAGCCTGAAAACATGAAACTGGAGGATTTCATAACATGTGTTATTAAACTAGAGCCTGGCCACCTCTTACTAATTCATTTATCACTGTGTATTCCATTTTATACAATGATTTTCCAAAGCATCTGTCAGCTTCTCATATCCCTGGTCTCTTCCCATCCACACTGAAATAAATGGCTTCTACTTCAATTTTTGCGAAAGCCAAGCCAACTACCATAAACTGCTTCAACCTCTCTGACTTAACTTCTAAATGTCTCTGTACCTTCCCAAAAGGATTTCCCTTTCAGATCTGCTTATCCTGCTCTGATCGTCTTTAAGCAGTAAAGCCACATATGCATGTCATCTGGGTGTCCTAGTAGTATCTATAGGCAGTGAAGCCAAAACTGAAAACATTTTCACACTAAACATGGTTCCTCCTTCCTCAGAAACAACTTGGACTGCTTAATACCCATTTCAAGTTATCCAAAGTCTACATCTACACTGTTCTTACACCAGCTTATTTGTCTCTGGTTTCTCTTCTCTGTTATCTCATATTCTTACTACTATCAAACTATAGTCTCTTTAAAACAAGCATCACCCTCTCAAATACCTAGAAAGCAGCAAAGTAGTATAAATGGGTGAAACAAGTCAGGTGTTTGAATATTAAATTCATGAGAAAATTATGTACTTTCACAAAGAAATATGCTGCCTTTCATTTCTTGGAATATGTGGCTCTGATTTTTAGCACTTAGATAGGCAGTTTTGAAAGGGACATTGGTATAAAAAATGACTTCTGTACTACAACTATAAAAAGCAATAGTAAGTGAATATGCTAAATGACAACAGACACTAGGTCTTAATAGAGGGAAAAAACAGAATAGGCTCTTTAAAGGAGGCATTTGCTCCACATTAGTCAATTATTTAGCCTCTCAGGAATAATTAATTAAGACTGGGGGTGTGACTCAAGTGGTAGAGCCCTTATACCTACCACTATTACAAAGCCCTGAGTCTATCCCAGTACCTAAAGAGAGAGAGAGATTGGGGTATTAATTTTCTAGTATGCTTGGCCCGATAGAGCCAATATCAAAATACAAAAAGGAAAAAAAAAAGAAGAATGGACATTAGTATTGCCAAATATTTGGCCTTTGTTGAAAAGCCAAAAGTCTAGATTCTTGTTACTTGGTTTCTCTTGCTTAAAAGCAAACAATCAGGCTAATAAATTATTGCCCCAGGACCCCTTCTCTTCTGCAAATTTCTTTTCTCATAGATTCTTAGCAGCAATTTCCTGGGGAAGTGAAACAATATAGTAAAGGCTATGAAAGGCTTCCAGGGACTAGCCTTCCCTTTCTCACTTTCCTCCCCACACAGGTCAGGTGTCCACTTGGGAAAACACACAACAGACTAAAAAGTAACCCCAAAGCATTTGCCACCAAATCCTAACAGAGCAACCTAAGAGACACTTAAATCTGCAGGTCACTCCCCATTTCTGTTTCATTCCCCCCCCCCCCATGCCCCAACACCTCTGCTTTAGTCAAACAAACGGGTTGGCTTACTCCATTCCATTCACAATTTTTTCCATTATTCTTCCCTTCACAATCCAGCTCAAAACACACCTCCCCCCTCCCCAGGGAAACATTTCTTGCATAATATGGCTGGATAATTTTTTTTTTCTTCTCATGGCTACAGAGGCCTGCATGCAGAGTTGTATTAAGTATGTCTTCTTAGGTGTTTCAGAAAGTGGCTGGTGGGCTTCTCCTGAGAAGGGACGGGGCTCTTTCCTTCCCACTCATGACTTCCTCCTGGTCCAGGAGGCCGAGGTCAGGGCGTGGGGCATGGGAAGGGGAGGCGGAGCTGCTGATGCTAAACCATCACCTCTCTCTCAGCCACACCCAGCCCTACCTGGATCAACCCAGACCCGGCCTCACCTGTCAGCTCCCCAGTCAGGTATGTGGCCATTTTGGAGAACATATCCCGGCAGAGTTCAGTGATGTCAGCCTCCGCAGGTTCCTTGGCTTCTTCGGCCGTCTCCACGGCGACATCGTCTAGGCCAAAGGAGAAACGAGTAAGTGTCCAGCCCTGCACTCCAACCCAATCCGGAGCCGCTTCCCCTCCAGCCCGCTCCGTCCCACCGTGCCGGCCCCGCCCGTCGGCCGGCCGTGGTGCCCGGCCCGCCGCCTCCCCCGCGCCCACCCGACGCCCGAGCTCGCGGCCCGACCATTTCTGTCGCCCTGCTAGGACACACAGGTGCAACCTCTCCGACCGGCCGGATCCGGCAGCCACACACTTCGCCCTGGCCCGCCACTTCACGCCCGTCCACGCCGGGTACCTCGAGCCGGCTCCTCCGGGCGCGTCTCCGGGACACCCTCTGCGGCCGCCGCCATGGCCCGCCCCTGCGCGGCTTCCGGTCCTGGCGCCTGCGCACGCGCGCCGGGAGCGCCCGCCCCGCCTTCCCCGCCGCTGGCTTTTTGAGCTTCCGGCTTGAGGCACGCCTCAAATGATGACTTCTAACCAAGTGCAAGGACGAAGCCAAGACGGAAGATAGAGTATCCGCAGTGAATGGGCTGCTGGGAGTCACGGCCTCTGAGACCGAGGTTACTCTTGTCCCTGCAGCCACACCTTGGAGTTGTCACTCGATTTACACCAGCCACCTGGTCTGGCTTCCTCCATGGCGGACTAGCCAGTTCACGGAAATGGCTGGCGCCTGGGTGCCTACTGCCTACCCCCAGCCCGCACACCCCGCACCTGGCAGGTGTCAGTCACAAAGGATTGACTTGGAAATGGATGCTTATGCGGAGAGCCTTCTCCGTCCCACTCCCCGTTGGATGTACTGGGTTTTTAGCTCCGCCATTTGAGCCCTGCCTTCTGCCCATTTTGCTCAGATTATGTTTGAGATAGTGCCTCAACTGTACTCTCTTTAAGCTTCCCACGATATCTGGGAAGGCAAATCTAGCTTTTTCTGTTGAGATGGAGGAGGGTCTCTTGAACTTTTGGTCCCCCCTGGCCGCCAACAGAAAAGGAGATGGTCTCCGTCTTCCAACTAGCTAGGATTTACGGGCGTGAGCCACAGGCCTGGGTTTGCAGGTAATCTTATTTTCCAAGCCTTGACTCCATCCTAAATACACTCCCTCCCAATGTCCTAGATTAATTGAGTTCTGTGTCTTAAATTGCAGACTAGCACTTCCTTCTCTTCATTTTACAGCTGTGTGTGTTACTGGGAATTGAACCTAGGGCCTTTAAAGCCTTTCTTGAAAGAAGTTTAACAATTTTAGGGCTAAGGATACTCTGGTTATCTTAATTGAATTTAGCTTTTCACAAGCTTCTTGGGTATATATAACATTTAACAGGTTAGGAGAACTCTAGAAGTGAGTGAGCAATTGGATAAGACAAAGTGATAAAAATCACAGGAAAAGTCAGGTTTCAGTGGCTTATGCCTGTAATTCTAGCTATTCAGGAGGTTGAGATATGAGGATTGCAGTTCAGGGCCAGCCCAGGCAGGAAAGTCCACGAGACTCTTACCTCCAATAAACCACTAGAAAACCGGAAGTGGCACTGTGGCTCAAATGGTAGAGTGCTAGCCTTGAGCTGAAGAGCTGAGGGACAGCACCCAGGCCCAGAGTTCAATCCCCACAACTGCCGGAAAAAAAAAAAAAAGGAAAAGGGAGAAAAACAGATAAATAGTCTCAGGATCCAGGTTCCTGGACATTCACCATATTGGTTTAGGTTTTGTTTTTTGTTTTGTCTTATCCCAGATTATCCTTCGTCTTCACAGATACATGGCCCTAAAACCTTATAACCTGATTTTCTTTGCAATAAAACTGGATCTCTCTAGATCTCCTGTCTCTACTCCTTTCTTATAGAACTATCATAGTACCATTTCAACCCATTCCTATCAGCCAGAGATTTTTTTAGTTCAGGACTCCTGAAGCAGCCCATCTCCTTCCTAGTTGTCATTGCCCCTATTCTATATATCCCGAGAATAAGAACCCACTCCAGCCCACAAATGGCTCAGATTCTAACTTCTTATTGTCCTTTTCCTTCGAATTGTCCCAGAAACAAATACAAAGACATAGTTTTCCAATGCAATTTTATTGATAAACAACTGGGAAACTCATAATGTCCTATAGAAGAACAGCATTACAGCCCACTACATATTAGACTAAAGGTCTGTGAATCCTGAGGTCATTTTCTTGCCTGATTCCCTTCAGATTCTATTTTCATTTCCTGGTATATATCCACCCAGTTCCTAGTGTTCAGCAGAAAGGCAGGAACCAGGATCCTCCAGAAGAACCTTTGCTAACTTTGCTCTGGGAGGGCATCACACTAACTCCTCTGCTATATTGGAATCTTGCCTTGTAAGAGGAGTCTACTCTCCTCTAATGTTTCTCTTTTACAGAAACTCCATGGGGGAAAGGAAGAAATGTATGGATACTAGCAGCAGATCTCTAGATACACAAAGGATAGCAATAAGATTCACTGGCAAATAAAAAGACATCTAGACACTACCTACTGTCTTGGCTTCTACCTTTTTCATAAATCGTGGCTGTTTAGGTGTTTAAGGAGAATCATTTCTTTATCTTGTTTGTTCTTGACTATTTTTGAATCACAGTAGAGCTAAGTGCACAAGAAATAAGCCCACAGTACTATGTGGCTATAGACAGAAACACCAAGTCACAAGCATGATGCCCAACTACACACAGAAACATTGACTCAAAAGGCCATACATGGGGTGGGACCTTCCATGAAGGGGCCTGCTGCTCTCTTTGGGGAGTCAGAGAGGAATGTCTGTTGTATGACCCCTTTTCCACCACTCTTGTGCCCACCCGGACTCCCTAGGGAGCTGGAATTCAACTACAGCTGGATGCAAGTGTTCCCAAACCGCTGTTCCTCCTGCTGGAAGGGGGGAAAAAAGAACAGGTCACTTGAAGCAGGACTTTATGTCCTACTTTATTATTCTCTAGATTTGTTTAGAGAACCTAGACTGATACAGACTGAATGTTTGTGTCCCCCCAAATCATGTGCTGAAATGTAATCCCCAATGTAATGGTATCAGGAGGTGTAGCATTTGATAAGTGATTAGATCCTGAGTGTGGAGCTCTTTTTTTTTTTAAGTCCCTTTGTTCCTTCTACCATGTGAGAACATAAGGAAAATATAGGCGCCCGTGAACTTGAAGCTGGTTCTCAGCAGATACTGAATCTGATATCACCTTGATCTTAGACTTCCCAGCCTTCCAAACTGAAGAAGAGATTTCTATTGCTTACAAGTGGCTCAGTCTATGATGTGTTGTGTATCAAATCAATCAGACAAAAACAGAGTTCTCCTAGTGGCCAAGGCAAACCTTAGGCCAGGACAATCCACTTCCAGGCCTTCCTTCATTCCCCCTCTACTTCCACTGATACACAGATCACTGTGAACCTACTTCCCCAGGACTCTGAAAATGAAGGACTTTAAAAAATATTCTCTCCCTTACCCACTCATACTGAGCGGAAAGACATTAGATTTCAACTATGGGGAACTAAAGAAGTGCTACTCACCTCTCCTGGGGAGGAAGCTGGCTGTCCTTTCCTCTCCAACATCTTCAGCTTTGAATCCACAGCATCAATTTGAGATATAACTCCTTCCAGAGCAGTCTCTAGTTGTAGGACTCTTCTTGTGAGCCTATCTATGCAGGATTTGGAAGAAACAAAGAGGGCAGAGATACGCGTCTGAGTGCTAGGAAAGGTGAAAGGTTAACAGATGGTTGTGTCTACAAGGGAAGGGTTAACAAAATGTGGGGGGTGGCTGCATGGGAAAAATGAAGTAATATACAATCGTGTGGAGAATTATGGGACAGAAAAGTATAAGAGAAGTACAACAAAGAATATTAAAAACAGCCAGCTCTGGGCTCCTGGTTGTACATACGTGTAGAATTCTTCTCCAGAAACCCAGCCTTCTGATGTGGCAGCCTCTGTACCCAATTCACCAGCTGGGCTATGTACAATGGACCGACCCAGGTTCTCAATCTCAGCATTGAGGGCCACCTAATCAGGAAGTCAGAAATTAGAGGGGAAGAGATGACTCTGGGAAGTCATCAGCTCCTATTCCATTATCTGTTCCAAATGGACTCTAACTCTACATCTTGATATTCCTCCTCCCTCCCAGGCTCTAGAACCAATAGGGCCAAGGTATTAGTGGTAGACCATCCCCTAAGAGAGGGAGTCACCTTCCAAAGAAACAAACATACACTCTATAAAACATGTGTTTGGGAGAGGATAGACAGTACCAGAACATTTTTGATACTTTCTCTCTAGGATGCTGTTACCCTGCTGGGGCTGGGTTAGTGATAGAGCAGGCCTAGTAGGAGCAGCTAAGAATCAGAGTTTGAAAATTCCAAGAAGACAAATCCTCAGAGGGAATTATCAGAGATTCTTAGGCAATTAGTGCACTTTGCCTAGGACTGTGCTTTAGAGAAATGGTTCTCATCCTTGCCTGCACGATGTAATCATCTGGGAAATTTTACAAAATACTAATGTCTGCTGTCTGCCCTCCTCCACCTTAATTGGTCTAGAGCTCCCCAGAGTATTTAATGTGTAATTGTTTGAGAACCCCTATTCTGGAGAGTTCTTTCCTGATTATCTATGGAGAGGATGTTCAGTTTTGATTTGTGTTTAGGTATATTGAGTAGGGGGACAGAGGACTATTGTTCTTACGCTGTCTCCTCACCAACCAGTCCTGCTCACCCTTTCTTCCTCTAGATCTTGTCGCATTTGCTCCTGCTCCTTCTCATCCAGAATGTGATTCCCATCCTGATCAAACCGGGTGAAGGCAGCCGTGAGCTCAGTGATCTCATGCTCCTCATGCCCCAGTCTGAGGAGAACAGCACAACAAAATGACTTCTGCCCTGTTGGAGTTGTGATAACTTTACTATTGACTCCTCCCCCTTTTATTGGAGGATCACATGGGAAATCTAGAATCTCTGAAGTCTAGCAATTCTACACCCAATAAATTGCTTGACTCTGTTTCTTCTTCCTGATCTGACCCCCTCAGAGCCTCATGATCCCCTCCTATGGAGATTGTTGCAATATCTCTTTTGCCTCTAAATAGCCTGCCACCACCTCCACTTCAGCTTCCCCTCTACTCCTTGCTTCTGAAGTGCTTCCTCCATAACTAGAATATTATCATTTTTAAAATTCAGATCTAATGGTGATGGACTATGTGTTCTGGCAAATACCTGTAGTCCCAGTTACTTGAGAGGCTAAGGAGAAAGGATCAAGTCCACAATTTCAGAATAGCCAAACTTATTTTTGAGACCATGACAGAAAATAAATAAAAAGCAAACCTAAATACACACCTGTTCAACTTAAAAATCGCTCCTGGACACCCCATTCTTTGGATAGAGTATGGATATCAAGGCCATTCTCAAAGTAGCCATGTCCATTTCTCTGGCCTTACCTCCAGACTCTTCTTTTCTTTTTATTAGAAATTATCAACTATTTATTTCTGTTGTATATGTTGTTTAATTTTAAAACTCTGACTCTTAGATGCTGTCATCTTTTATTAGAATTTCCTCTGCTCTTCCAGGAAACCTCCCCATCAGCTCAAAAAGAATAAATAACTGGCTAGACACTAGTGGCTCACACCTATAGTCCTAGCTACTCAGGAGGCTGAGATCTGAGGATTGTGGTTCAAAGCCAGCCCAGGCAGGAAAGTCCATGAGACTCTTTTTTGTTGTTGTTGTTTTTTGTCAGTCGTGGGGCTTGAATTCTGGGCCTGGGCGTTGTCCCTCAGCTCTCCAGCTCAAGTCGAGCATTCTACTACTTGATCCACGGAGCCTCTTCTGATTTTCTGAGTGGTTTATTGGAGATAAGAGTCTCACAGATTTTTCTTGCCTAGGTTGGCTTTGAATGGCGATCCTCAGATCTCAACCTTCTGAATAGCTAGGATTACAGGCATGAGCCACCAGCACCCAGCTTCCATGAGACTATCTCCAATGAACCACCAGAAAACCAGAAGTGGTGCTGTGGCTCAAGTGGCAGAGCGCTCTCCTTGAACTGAAGGGCTCAGGGTCAGTGCCCAGGCCTAACGTTCAAGCCCCACAACTGACCAAAAAAAAAATCAATAACTATTTATTCCATGTCTCCTTCTTTCATGTCATTTCAGTTGTTGAACTTATTCTGTGATTTGGTTTATTTGCTTACATATCTATGAATTCCTAATGTTTCTCTACTCACTATAATAATGGTGGGATTATATTGTTACATTCTAACAGCAAGGTCCAGAATGTTGTAGGTTATATTCAAAGACCTTTAAAGCAAGGACATAATCCTGATATTCAAAACCATAGACCTACAGGGGAAGGCCCAAAGCCTAGAAGTCAAGGTCTTAGGTCCATAGGCCAAGGTCAAATTTTGTTAGCAAAGGTTGTGTTTCTGGTTGCTTACTCCCTCAAGGTGTTGGTAAAATCCTCAAACTGTATCTCCTGCTTCCCACCCTGAAGGACCTTCTGCACATCTGAAACCTGCTCCTTCTTTAGACGTAACCTTAGTAGAGTCTTCTTGTAGCCCTGAAAGGGAAAGGAAACAGGAAGAAGTCACAACAGGCTGCTCATCGTGCCTGACTCCACCTCCATCTAAAGCATGCCAGGGGGTAATTGAAAGCATCAGAGAGCATAGGTCCCTATAGCAGTTGGTAATAGACCATAACACAGAGCTTTGAGACAGTCTTGGATGCCTATAGGTTATTCAAGGATACTAAGTAGTCACCTGTTTCAGGAGGTCATAGAGCTGCAGCTCATCCTTCTGTCCAGCCAATTCCTCCTTGACCTCTGAGTATGTGTCATTGATGATAGCCAGGAACATGTTCTACAGGATAAAGTGAGAGTTTGGGCCCTCACTCTCAGACCAATTAAAAACATTGAGCCCACTGACCCAATATTGCAGACCTGGGTTCTAAAGGGCCTAATGTTCTCAACCTTGACTCTGCAGTCAACCCATGCCTGTCTCTCAGGGGCCTCACAGCCCCGCTTTTTGCTCATTTCTCTTTTTCTCCCTAACCAACCAGACATCCAGCTGCCCACCAAAATACACCCCTCCCCCCCGCCCCACACATGATCTATACTCCTCCAAACCAGGGTCCACTAAGCCAGAAACGTTTGAAGGTGAAACACAATCCATGTCTGTATCTCCATCAATTGATCAAATAAACTTGCCTGCCATGTTAATAATAAAAAATCAAACCTAGATATTCCCCAGTTAGAAGAACATCAATCCAGTAGTAACAGCAGAAATCAGCAAGATACCCCCAGATGAGAGCATATCTGGAGAAAAAGCATAGAGGCTTCCAGGGACAGCTGTTCTCATGAAACACTTTCTTCTCCTTGGAGGAAGAATGTTTGATTTCTTGGCAAACTACCTGACTGTGCTTGGCATGCTGACCATGTTAGCCACCTCTCAAAGATCCAAAAGAACCTCCCCACCCAATATCCTTTCCATTCTTGCTTTGAGAAACTCATTGTAATTCCAAATAGGAGGCAGAAAAGGTCAAAACTCCACCCTGGAGATCCTCTATGTTGTCAACCCTCAGAAGGATCCTCACCAGGAGCACAAAGAAGACAAAGAAGACATAGGTGACGAAGTAGACAGGGCCCAGGATTCGGTTGGCATTGTTGATAGCATTGTAGTCAAAGTCCCCAAGGATTATCCGGAACTGAGTAAAACTGAAAGACCAGGTATGGACTTTACCCTGAGCTTCGCCATACCATGGCCCTAATCCATACCCCTGTCCCACTTTCCCTCACAGCACCTCTGACCCCATCTGATGGAGAGAATAGGTGTATAAATTACTTGAGCACACACACAGGCTTCTGTAGACTCTCACTTAGGGCTTTAAGTACACACACACACACACACACACACACACACACACACACACACACCTCCTCCCATTTTCCCCAAGGTTACACACACCTGGGAGGGTGAGGGGCCAGGGTGGGGACAGGACACATACATGCACTTGGTGAAAGTGCTAAAGTTCTCCACTTGCGTTCCAAAAAGCAGGTAACCAAGCTGGGCATAAGCAAAGAAGACAATGAAGAACATGATGGCAAAGCCCAGGATGTCCTTGGCACAGCGAGCCAGTGTAGAGGAGAGCTGTGTCATAGTTTTGTTGAAGCTGATGTACTTGAATATCTGCAAGGCCCATAGGGAACCACATGGTGAAGTAGAAAAAATGAAAAGCATTGAATAGTCCACTCCAGGAGCCCACAGAGGTGCCAAAGTAAAACAAGGAAAAGGAGACACAATTGAAGAAGAGTGGGCACCCTGAGGCAAACCAGGAAGGAAAAGTCCCTGGTACCTTGATCCAGGCGAAGAAGAGGTTGACAGCATTCATGTTGTTGTACTGCGTCTGCCAGAAAGCCAGGAACTCGAAGTCAGCATATGTGTTTGGCTGCTCTAAGAGCTTCCCCATCAGCCGATTCACCTCGAGGGTTCGGAATATGTGGAAGCCCACGGCCAGCATGGAAAGCTGTCACACAGGGGTCACAGGGCTGTCAGAGGAGTCAAGAAGGTCTCAAGAGAAGCTCAAAGATAAAATCTCAGGGAAGAGCTGAGGCAGGTAAGCCACATGGTCAAGAAACACCCCTTCCTTCGGAGGCATTCACTAGATCAAGTTCAGGTGGAATGGGAACTTGTATATGAGGATAGCTTGCTTATGCTACAGCCCAAGAGAAGGCTTTGGGGCCAGAAGCAAATATGTCAATCGTAAAGGGCTACATGGAATATGATTTCTCTCCACCCCCACCACTTCCATGTCTTGGTAAAGAAATGAATATGTCCTGCTAATGAAAAAAAGATGAAGATGCAGAATATTTGAATAGAAAAGGCAGAGCTCTTCAAGGGGACAAGTCATAAAGGCAAAAGACATAAGAGAAGGTGACCACCTACATAAAGAAAAAAAAAACAGGGCCAGGCTCAGAGGCTCACAGGAGGAGAGATGTGAGACGGGCTTACTAAGGGCTGAAACTGAGGGGTATTAGCTTCTTGCTCTGCTATCTATGGCACAGTGATTTGACCACATGTCAGAAGGAGGACTTGGAGCTCCAAAAGGAAGAACTTGGAGCCCCCTGCTACCTTCCAGTATGTACCAAGCCTGAAGCCTCTGTCCCTCACCAGGATGACCACCAGGTCCAGTATGTTCCAGATGCTGCTGAGGTAGCCAAGCCGGTGCATGTGGATCTCCAGGACTTCCTCCACCACATAATAAAAGATGAAGATGCAGAAGATGATCTCACAGCCAATGATGAAGAAGTCCCAGTTGCTGACATAGCGGATCAGCTTAACTGTTCGGATTTGCCAGGATGGGATGGCACCTCCTGTAGCTGGGAACTCCACTACCAGCCTGTAGGGGAAGGAAATAGCTAGTGGGGTCTGGGCTGAGATAGCTCCTCCTCCTACGGATCCCCACACAATCCTTTATATTACTATGGGGTATGAATTTAGGGAAGCACCAAAAGCATAGCAAGAACCACAGCTGGAGGGACAGTGTGGAGAATAGGGGGCCTACCTCAGAACACAGAAAAGATTGATGTTGGCATTGTAGACTGAGAAGTCTATGAAGACCACCCGAGTGCCCCTGTCCAGCCACAGCCCCTCCTGAAGGTCTCGGAGTGCCTCTGCACTGGCCTGTCGGGATCCTGGAAGGTCCAGGTAGTAGCCGCCTCCACTGTAGCTTGTGAGTCTGCCCCAGTGGGAGGAGCCCTCCAGCTCATCCTGCGAGTGATATGTCCACCTGCCACAGAAAAGTCCATCTGAGCAAAGAGAGGTCTGAGCCAGCCTAAAGTTCATCTCCCAAGGCAATGGGAATACTTTATGGTTGTCTGGGCTTTGCACTTTCACATATTTCCTGTATGTAAGTACATGCAGTGTCACTGATAATCGGTATCTGTACATTTTCCATGGGGAACATGGAAGAAGTCCCTGTAGGAAATCAATACCCAGATATTTTCAAGACAATTATCTCTATAATGGCAGTACTGAAACTCAAAGGTAAAGCTCCTCATTTTTCATTATGGTACTCAAGGATAAGGAGGACAAAGCCAAGCCCTACTTTTGGTCCCAACCCAACTGTCATCTCCCTAGAGAAGCACCTGGACCATAAGTCTAGGAAGGATCCTTCCAGTGCTTATGGATATACAACTTACTGCTCAACTCAATGACTCTCTGTTCTTAGCCTTCCTAAGTTTCTGTCCTAGCTCCCTCTTTTCTCTTCCTTTATTATTGTCTTGTTTTGTGTGGCTGTGTCAACTTCATTTACTCTTCACATACCCAAGAGACCTGTGGGCAGATGTTTTCCCTGGGGGAGGGGCACTGCCTGTAGAGGACAGTAAGTGTGACTGTGACCTGTATGTTGTCACAGGTGTGAAAACTATGGCTCTGTGTGCTAACCTACCTCCATTCCTGAGTGAGATATATCAAGATCCCCAAAGAGTCACAGTTGGGACTCAAGGAGATGACTTCAGGTATCTCCAAGGTTTGAACCCTACGTATTTTAAGACTCAGTAATAGTTGTTTCCACATCCTAGGATAGTGTCAGGCTCAGAGGGAACTTACGCTGTGCCGTTGACAGATCCAAAGGGGAGTTGCTCTTCTTTGTCTGGAGAGTAGACATCATAGCAGCTGAAAATGTCCTCCCGGAAGTCCTCATGCACCACACAAGAGTCATTGCGTACCCGCAGCTGCCGCAGCCTTGGGGCCCCCAGCAGTAGGTTCTCATAGTAGATGAATGAGTGTGAGCCATGGCCCAGGCTCTGGTTGTTGTACCACTTGGTCCAGTACAAACTGTCCAGGAGTGGGCCCTGGGCAAACTGGACCAACAGCTGGATTGGGCTTTGCTCAGCTTCCTCCCAACCTCTGTTCTTAGAATGACCTTTCCTCTCACTCCTTAACTCCTAGCTTGTTTCTATTCTCTTTTGCTATATTCTATTCAGCCGACCCCTGTACCTCTGCCAGATTCTGACCTGACTTTACTAAAAATATATTTTGAAGTTCTGCCTCTCTTCTTACTCTCAGTAATAGTCTAATTCCTGGTTTTCATTCCAATCTCTCATTCACCTCCACTTCATCTCTAGCCTACTTCACTAATTCAGCTTGACCTTCTGACTCAGTCTGATTCTAGATTGAACCTATGATCCCTGGTTATGAGTCTGATCCTTCACCTGACCTCCCCGAGCTCTGGCTTTGAATCTTAGGCCATTGAGAAGGAGAAAGAAGGGTGGAGATCTCATACTCACATCCCAGAAGTCTGCCATACTGCTGATGGTCTGGAAGGAAACTCCAGTTTCTGATGGGGTATGTAGGAAGAGCTCAGACATCACTTTGGTGTAGTAATAGGCACTGGAACTTGTCATTCCATAGGTCACTAGAAAATAACCCAAGAGGCTGTGTTTTGTTTTGTTTTTGGTCACAGAGCTTGAACTCGGTGCCTAAAGTGCTATCCCTGAATTTTGTTGCTTAAAGCTAGTACCCTACCACTTTGAGCCACAGCACCACTTCTGGTTGTCTGGTGGTTATTTGGAGATAAGAGTCTCACTGACTTTTCTGCTCAGGCTGGCTTCAAACCATGATCCTTAGATCTCAAACTCCTGAGTTGCGAGGAGTGTGTCACTGGCACAGTTCCCATCACTATTCTCCAGTGGAGACAAGAAAGCCCATTTATCTGGCACAAAAGGTGTATCTACATGGTTTCCCATAAGACCTACTCAATAAAGTAGTCCAGGAAAGCTAATGGTAGCACTGTGGAAAACCAGGGGTTGTATTAGGGAAAGGTTTGGCTACAAAGTCTCCTACAAAGATGGCTCTCGTCTCAGTAATTGTTGATTGAAATCAACATTCTGAAATTTCACTCTTTTCTATGGACTCAGCTTATCTTTACAGTTCTTACTCTCCAGAACAGAGACTGTTTCTTTGGATCTTGTTTGCTTGCATGTGTCCTCTATTTATACCCTTTGGAAAGTTCCTCCTAATTCTAGAATACTCCGAGGCCCACTCTGGATAAACACTTTACACTAGCTTCTAGACGCTGGGCATGGCACCTGGGCATTGGCAGGGCTTGCTGCTGGTCACAGATATCTCCTGTGTAAGGGACTCAATGCATTCCAGATTTAGCAAAGGAGAAAAAGGTCTGCCCTTTTCCTAAAGTCAGCATTTTCCTCACCCACCCTAATAAATGCATTCAGAAAAATGTATTATATCCACAATTCACTCTCAAACAGTGGTGGTAATAATGGTGTGTGTAGAAGGAGGGGGGAATGTAGGCATGGTAGAATGTTTAGGAAATGTATGAAATGCTTGAAGTGTCTATAGGAATTCTTTGTGTTATTCTTGCTATTTTTCTATAATTTTCTGTAATTGCATTTAAAAACTTAAAAGTAGGACTTCTCAGCCTCTTGTCAGCAATCCCTTAAACATTTTTTCACATCTTGGACTTTTTTTTCTATTTTCTTTTATTTTTTGCAAATTCTTTATTGTGATTGATTACATAATTTCACAAATTTCACAGTATTGTGGGATAGTGATGCTTGGTTAAAGTCACAAACACATTCTAACTTTCATGGGGCAAATTGTCTATTGTGGTCTATAACATTTATGAGTTCTATGAGCTTTGACAATAGTTATTTCTTCCACATTGGGTGATATGTATATTTCTTTCCTTTTGCATAGCATCAGCCGTTCCCTCTTTCCACTAGTTCCCTTCCTCCCATCGCTGACATTGAATTGCTTAGTTCATTTTGATCAATGTCCAGTGCAGCTGATGGGTCCCACTGTTGTATATTTTCCCTGATTCCCTGTAGTTCTGTGTCATACTCTTGGTTTCCCTCCAGTGGGCACATATATACCATATATGTGATCAGCAGCATGGGGTTATTTAGTAGTGATTCAACCAGATGAGTGGAAGTCCTTTGTTTCTCAAGTCTTGTTTACTTTGTTGTATCACCTTACGTTTTGGATTTAACATCCACTTATCAGGGAGACCATGTGCTGTTTGTCTCTTTGCTCTTGGCTTACCTCACTCAACATGATTTCTTCTAGTTCCATCCATTTCCCTGCAAATGCCATTATTTTGCTTGGACTTAATTTTTTCTTACCATCCCATTTGGAAATGGAATGACTTGGGGGTGAAATGGAACTTGCCTATGGAGCTGGAGGAAAGGGTGTTCCTTATTATGTACTAAGCATTATACTTCTCCAGAGATGGGAATCAGAAAAGAAAGAAGCATTATTACTTCATATCCCCTTGTTCCACTCTATTAAGAAAGTTCAAACTATATCTGCAGTTACCTGTCTTTAGTATCTAGAGAACTATAGGCAATTTTCTAATGAAAGATAAGCTGAACTTTTTCTAATGATATAGGACTAAATTGTTGAATTTTGTAAAATGGCCACTAGGCAGTACTCACTACTACCGCTTTTATTTTTCAGCTAACATTGTTCTGAACTGCTTGCCAACATTTACGGATACTCTCTCTTTATTCTCTCTCTCTCTCTCTCTCTCTCTCTCTCTCTCCCTTCCTTCCTTCCATCTTTCTAAGTTTCTGAGTTGGGGATTGAATCTAGGGCCTTCCACATGCTAGGCAAGTGTTCTACCACTGAGGTATATGTTGAAGCTCAATATATAAAGATTACATCTTCTAAGAAACACTGGCTTCACTTGGTCAAATGCCTATCAACATACAGAAATTTACTATTCTTTCTTTGTAACACTTTAACTGAACTACATACATACAGAAAAGACCACAAAGGAACCCTACAACTATTCTAAAGGGGCCTTGTCTTTGAAGGTTGTATATTGCCGTGGTGCCTCCCTGTTACTCCTGTCTGCCTCCTGGCTGTCATAAGGTGAGCAATTCTTCTCAGCTACGTCCTTACTCCACAATGTTTTCTCCTTGCTATGGGCCTAGAAGTATGGAGCCAACTGACCAAAGATGAAAATGTCAGAACTATGAACCAAATAAATTCCCCCATCTTGTTGTTGGTAGTAGTAGTAGTGGTGGTGGTGGTAGTTCTTCTTCTTCTTCTTCTTCTTCTTCTTCTTCTTCTTCTTCTTCTTCTTCTTCTTCTTCTTCTTCTTTTTCTTCTTCTTCCTCCTCCTCCTCCTCCTCGTCCTCATCCTCCTCATCTTCCTCCTCATCATGATCATCTTCATCTTCCTCCTCCTCCTCCCCCCTTTCCCCCTCCTCCTTCTTCTTCCTTTTCCTCTTCTCCTTCTTCCACTTGAGCCACACTTCCACTTCCAGCTTTTTTTGTAGATTAATTGGTGATAAGAGTCTCAGGACTTCCCTGCCTACATTGGCTTTGAACCATGATCCTCAGATCTCAGCCCTCTGACTAGCTAAGATTACAGGCATAAGCCATGAGTGTTATTTGTGCCTTTCAATGTAAGCTGGCCTGGTCCCTTTAAGACATAGGTACAATGTAATTTTTTAAAATTGAAACTATATGACAGTTGTAATTAATCATCATATCCTGAGATTGGGTAATAACTTGATTTCTGTGTTTAGAGACAAAATATTCTCATCCTCTCTTTTGAATTGCTGGTGCATATTCCCTGCTCAGAGCAAAGAAGATGTCAGCACATTTACACACAAAGTGACTAATGGAGGATACATTTAGGGCATAACTCCTCTGAACATCTAAAGTACTATATCAAAACAAATTCAAGGAAATGGGAGCTTTTGTTTGTTTGTTTTTAGTGTTAGTAAAAGGGGGACACAGGAACAGAGGGAGGAAAGGTGAACAAATATAGTCATTGTATTTAATATACACTATAGAAAAAATGAATCATGCAACTTGTAGGTAGGGATGGGAGGGAGAAATAGAAGAAAAGTGAAGGAAGGGATGTCATTCTCTAAGGATAACATTATACTCATTACCTAATGTATAGAATTATATCACCTTTATACAACTCCTTAATAAGAACAATAAAAAATAACAAGAAGTCAGTGCAATACCCCATGCCTCTCCTTTCCCATGAACTGCCATACAGGTCATCCGATGCTACTGAGCTCCTTCCCTGACCCTAATGACTATGAAATGGATCACCTCCACCTTTTCTAGCACATTCTTCTTGGGCAGAAATGGGATCTGTCCCCTCAACTAACTGACAAAGGTCCTCAGAGTGTTGGGGTGCTTCTGACAGTGACTATACAGTTCCTTCATGTACCTGTACTACTCCTGCATTGCAAATTGTATGTCTTGTACATCAAAAGCCCACTGCTCCTTCCTAGGTTAGAAAGCAGCCATGTTGGTCTCCTCACCCCATCCCTTCCCTAATAGCCATTGTGTGGATACAGCCTCTGGCTGTTCTGTCATTCTCCAATGGTTGCAGAGTAGGAAGGCCCTTGGGCCTTACTTGGTCTTGGCTTCTTGAGCTGCTCTTAGCACTTGGCTCATTGAAAAGTTTTCTGAAATATCTCCACCTAATTATTGACATAATACATCTTGCCAGATGAATAATTACAGGTGGGAGGTGATCTTTTGTTACCGCTATGGGGTGATTCGATATTCTTGTGAAATAAAATACAGTATTGAGAACAGTGATCCTTATTTATTCCTGCCCAACAACTCCTGATAATACTTTCACAATAGCTTAGCTAAGCTCTGTAATAGCCTCTCTTGGTAGAAAAGAAGCAGTTCTTATCAATCTGCCCAGTGATTTTACCTCAGGAAGATTATTTGAGGTAATGCCTTGATTACTCCAAGTTCTATTCACTGTGTTACTGTCTCTAGTGCCAAACTATGGAAAAGATTTCTTTTTAGTTTATTTAGCATGGACTGAAATACTCAATACCTCTCCTCATAATCATTTTAACTGGAGGCACTTTGATATCTAACAGAAGAGGCTATTCCCAGCCTTCCTGGCAGCTAGATATGTTGGCCATTTAATTACGTCCATAAAAGGGGAGAACATGCTTTCCTTTCTTCTTCCCCATTTCCTGCTAGCTGGTATATGAACATAAGGGCAGCGCTGAACATGAGAAAGAAGCTGCATGTTGAGAATGGCAAAGCAGTAAGGTAGAAGGAGCCTGGAATACACAATTGTAGAGCCTTGTATGAATCCAAGGTTTCTTATTCCACAGATTTGTTTTTTGAGTGGAAACTAGATTTTCATCTTATTTAATGCATTGTTAGTTTGGTCTTATTATTGAGGTTAAATTAGCACTGAAATTGAAGATCTCCATGTGCATAATTGTATAAGATGGGTACTTGGAAAGAGAAACATTTCTAAGAAAAGAATAGGAGGAGGGAAAAAGTCAAGAACCGGATTTATCCCCCACAGTATAACCTCTGTTTTCACTGTATTTGATGTTGGTATAATTTGTGGAGGGGAAGGGAAAAAACAAATTTTTTAAATAGGGATAC